AAAAAAAAAAAAAAAAAAAAAAAAAAAAAAAAAAAAAAAAAAAAAAAGCTAAACAGAGGAGCAAATAAGACATGTTCACAAATAATTAGGATGTCGGATAGATCTTGATAAGTCCATCAGATGCTACCATGTGTCAGGGGGTTCCAGAGGATCAAAGTCATGTCTGCTTGGGAGAAAGGAAATCAGGAAAACACATTCTGACTTTACGAAGCTTCAGAGAAATAACTTCTGGAGTTCATGGAAATCGTTGAAGTCCTTGGGCAACAAAAAACACAGAGACTTCAAGGGGAAATCAGTAATTTCCTTAAAAGTACCCAAACAAACCCGTCTTTATTTAACCACAGGACACATTTTCTTCATTGACTGTTGAAACTTTTAGAATATTTAACCAATACTCTGGGAAAATATTTATACTTGCACCCAAGCTGACCTCAACTGTGACTACACTTAGAATAAGATAAATGTACTTTAAAAATTCCGTTCTTTCTAAACTTTAGCCTTCATATGTTAAGTTGGCCGCCATAACCGTGTAAGAACCTTTTCAAATGACAGCGTTACGTGTGATTAATGAGACTTGATAGTTGAAATGGAATAAATGTCTTTTTAAAAACCCTCAGGTTTGTTCGTGTATAATTTAGAGACAGTAAACTTCGCACTTTGTAGGTGTACAGCTCCATGTGTTTCCGCAAATGGGATGCTTTTATTGTGATTCCTACAGTTAGCTGTTGGCACAGTGAAGACCTACAGAACTGAATGGAGAGAAACAGCCTAGGAATCAATGAGAATACAGAGCAAACATCTCCACATGCACTGTGTGCTCGGACAGGGGAGCGTGCCCTTTATGTGAACAATCTCAGCTCCTTCTTCCATCCCTATAGAAAATGTTCTTTTATAATCTCTACAGATGAGAAAAATGAAGCTCAGAGAAGTTGAGTTTTTTGACCAAGGTCACATTCCCAGGAGGTGGCAGGCTCCCAAACAGGGAGAATTTCCTGCCTCCATCACTAAGTAGTTTTGAGATTTGGGGACATTCATTTGGCCTTCTGGGGCTTTGTTTTCCTCATCCTCATAAAGAGAAGGTCCTACTAGCTTTCTGGTCCCCCAGACCTCTTCGATTCCTTATCAGAGCCCCACCATCTTGGTTCACAGGTGGAAATAAAACATCTGACCAGCAGTAGCCTCGGGGCTGAGAGTCTCAGACAAACAGCCCCAGAAGTTAGAGAAACAAGTAAGAAATGCCACGCACACTTAGACGGAGCCCAGCCTGCACCCACGCAAACTCTTCCCCGTTTTCTCACCTTGGGCAGCTGGCACGGGGCGAGGGCAATGCCATCTAGTGGAGTTCAGGAGGCCAGAGAAACAAATGGTGAGGAAGTACGTTCCGCCTCAGTCCCGCAGAACAATGCGGCCACTGTCTTCTGTCCCAGCTTCTCTGGTCGCATCACATCCTCACCGACCACGATTACAGGGATTGGAGCTGGCCGAGCCACCCTCATTCTCCCAGCTTTCAGTTCTGAGGTTGGCAAACCATCCTCCAGTACATCGCCCCGCTAGCTGCCTCCTGCCATGTCTCTTTCTCGCTGTGAACGTTCGTTATTGTCCAGTCGCCTCCGAGGGAAGCGGTAACATGAGGATGGAGAGCTGGGAATAATAAGTGTGCCTCTTCTCTCCGCAGCTGTAGAGGGAGTCTGGAGACCTACTTCTGAATTCTGACTCTGCCACCCAAATGGCTGTGATGTGGGCACTCCATTATCTTTTTTTTTTTAAATAAATTTATTTATTTATTTTTGGCTGTGTTGGGTCTTCGTTGCTGTGCATGGTCTTTCTCTACTTACGGGGAGCAGGGGCTACTCTTCACTGCGGTGCACGGACTTCTCATTGCAGTGGCTTACCTTGCTGTGGAGCACAGGCTCTAGGTGCGCGGGCTTCAGTAGTTGTGGCTCGCAGGCTCAGTAGTTGTGGCTCGTGGACTCTACAGTGCGGGCTCAGCAGTTGTGGTGCACGGGCTTAGTTGTTCCATGGCATGTGGGATCTTCCTGGACCAGGGCTTGAACCCGTGTCCCCTGCATTGGCAGGCAGATTCTTAACCACTGCGCCACTAGGGAAGCCCTCCATTATCTATTTTTATTTTATTTTTTTTAAAAGGGACTGAAGGCAGGAAGTAAACTATTTCCTGTATAACAGTTTGTTTCTCTTTGGGGTGCCGATGTTGAAGGACCTGGGGAGGAGTACTGCTTCCTCCTGATCATTCAACATCCTGTGCTTCACTGTCCTTCAGACTTTAGAGCAGCCTTTTTTTTTTTTTGGCCATACCATGTGGCTTGAAGGACCTTAGCTCTCCGACCAGGGATCAAACCTGCGTCCCCTGCAATGCAAGCACTGAGTCCTAACCACTGGACTGCCAGGTAGTTCCCTAAAGCAGCCTTTATCCATGTAAAACAAAACAGTATCACACCATGCACCAACCTAATAGGTTGAACCCTTTTCTCATTTTTGCCTGTTTCTGGCTGGCTTTTCAGGGAACTTCAGGTCACTGAGTCTTCTCTGAGGCCTTTAAGAACATAGCAGGTGCTCAGCAAACGCTTGCTGATTGTCTGTCATGGGAATCAACAGATAAAGATGGAAATGACCCAACCCTAGAGTGGGGATTTCAAAAACCTTATTTTGTAGGATAAAATTCTTTTCTTAGTGGTAGCATGTCTGATTATTTTTTAATCCTCAAATATCTAACTTATCCAGGGACTCAGTTTCTACACTTGGAAGAGATGAATAATAACTTCAGAAGGCTCCTGTAAAGACCAAGAGAGATAATGCACGTAAAGGCCATGAGTGAGTCCCAACGCATGGCTTCCTGGCACATTGTACTCGATGCTACTCAGAGTAAAGGATGATGTTTGTACAGTGCATTGAGGGTAAATGGACAAGGCAACCAGAGGGATCTATCACCGCCCCAGGGGCTCCAGCAGCCCTAAAGATTCTTGCTACTCCAGTCCCCTCGAAGCAACCCCCAGGGATGAGGGAATCATTAGTTCATCACACATACAACATCTGTGTCCCAAGGTCCACTTCTTGAAAAGCTGTTTTGAACTTTCATACAAATGGACAAATGTAATGAATGGTCCTATTGATGTGAGTGGATCATTTTGCCTTCCTTCACTCAGTTGCCACAGGGGAGACTGCCTGATCGCCAAGATCATAATACTATTTATGAAAGTAATACAATGACATATTTGGACCAATGGTGAAAGCAGAAATGCTTTTGGTCCCCCCCCCCCCCAACAACAACAACAAAAAACAGGCAAGACAGATTCACTTTGGCTTGGGAAGACTTGAGTTACACAGTTACTGATATTGGTTTGGGATTTGTTGATGCCCGGGCTTTGGACTGGTGTCTTCGGAAATTCCCTTGGTCGTGCCCTTGCGGTTGGAAGACGTCCACAGAGAGCTGGAAAATGACATCATCACCCTGTTCCAAGCCAGCCTGCAGAATCTCTTTCCCAGTGCCCTGTCTCCCCATCAGGAAGGACAACACTTCCCAGAGGCCCCTAAGCAGACTCCCTTATATGTCATTGACCAGAACTGGGCCACGTGGGCACTCTTAGCTGAGACTAAGACTGAGAAAGCAAGTATCTGACCTGTTTACTGGGATGCCAGTCAGGGAGAGGGGGTTTTGAGAGGCCAATCAGTAGCGTCTGGCTTGTTGCTATGCAAAGCACCTCTGGTTGTAACTCAAAGGGAAAAGCAAGTCTTCATTCCCCAATATTATCTGAACAGACTTCCCATTATTAAAATATACAAACGAAAAGGTTTAGTAACAGAACATCTGTAGTTTCTGCAGCATCTGCCAACCCTGTTGACATTCGGCAGCTTGGTCCATAATGACTTGCTCAGATTTCTTAAAACAGGAATTCCCACTTTTCCTCCTGAAAGTTTCAGGATTCTTTCAAATGCCTTCAGATCTTAAGCCCGTAAGCTCCCTTGTAAACTGCTTCTTCCCCCGGTCCATCGTGCTGCTCTTCTCACTAATTACTTCACACAGAGACTTCAGGTACATTTATAGCTCAACATCTTATTGGGAAGCAGTCTTTTTTTTTTTTTTTTTTTTTTGCGTTACGCGGGCCCCTCACTGTTGCGGCCTCTCCCGTTCCACAGCACAGGCTCCGGACGCGCAGGCTCAGCGGCCATGGCTCACGGGCCCAGCCGCTCCGCGGCACGTGGGATCTTCCCGGACTGGGGCACGAACCCGTGTCCCCTGCATCGGCAGGCGGACTCTCAACCACTGCGCCACCAGGGAAGCCTGGAAGCAGTCTTCAAGAAATGAGATATTAACATTTTTGCTATTTTAAAGTATATATAAAATATTTTAGAATAATATTAAAACTAGTAAAATGTTAAAACACATTTTAATGTTACATGCACGGTTTTGTAAATCTAGTAAGTATTGGCTTATAATAAAAAGCTGCAGTCTCCTGTCTCACCTTCACCACCCTCAGTTCCCACTTCCAGTCAATAATTTTCTACTCAGTTAGCTTTCTTTATGTGTTTATATCTATATTCTAAATTACATGCTTAAATTGCTATTTCTTGACTTTTAATTTAGACTCCAACTGTTGGCTCTATTCTACACAATAGGAGAATTTGACTTCCTCATACATACATTCCCGCACCTATTTTTCTCCTCCTCCCATCATCCCTCTTTTTTTACATAGTATTCTGTTCTTGTTTTATTGTTGCAAAATTTTCTCTTATCTCTCTAGAGATATAAATTATCGTAAGTTTTCTTCCGCTGTCTCCATCTCTCCCACGTTCCTCATCTGTTACATTTGCTCCCGTTGAAGCCTTCCTTGAAATGTCGGTTGATTCTTGGATGTCCGTTACTGCCACTAAAAGCTGACCAGCAGCTCTGTGTAAATAGAGTTTATTCATTGGTCGGCATCATTATATTGTGGCAGATGGGGACCCACAAGGACTGGAATCTATACGTCTTCTCTCTTGGGTTGGTTGCCTTCCCCAAAGAGGAATTCTCCAGTCTCCCTTTGGGGGTAATAGAAAACCTGCTGCCCGGGATCATGGGAACCTAGTGTGAGAAGGAGGCTGTGGGAATTACCGTTCAATATGAAGATTGTCACTCAATCTGCTTTAAAGGCGCCTCACCACCCCATTCCCCTCCACTGAGCTTGGCCCCAGAGCTCAGAGTTCCTCTAGAATTTCCAAGAGCAAATCTCTTGTGCTATATTCAGGTAGGCGATGGACAGGCTGCAGAAGCTAGGGCAGGGAATCTGGGAGCTGCTTCTTCAAGAGAACTTCAACTACTCTCTGTTTTTAGTCCCCTCCACAGCCAACATTTTTTGTTGTTTTTTGTTTGGTTGGTTTTTGGCTGTGCCGTGCGGCTTGCAGGATCTTAGTTCCCCGACCAGGGACTGAACCTGGGCCACGGCGGTGAAAGTGCTGAGTCCTAGCCACTGGCCCTCCAGGGAATTCCCCTCACCCAAATTTTGATAGGTGGTGCCTTCCATCGTTTGGCCTTTCCGAGAATCTGCAATGGGAATCAGCTTGCTTCTCACTGGACATTCCCCCTCAACTCTCTCTGGCATTAAGTTTCTGTTTTTTCTGTTCTGCCTAGTCAGTTACCACTTGTTCACCTGTTTTCCACTTTGCAAAATAGGGTTGACATCACTTTCTCCTCTTATTCCTCCCCTGTTCTCTTTGACTTTTCAACTGTTCACTATTTTTATCTCTTTATTCTCATGTCAGTAGGGTTTCATGAAAGAGTAAAGATTAATGCAAGGGGCTTCCCTGGTGGTTCAGTGGTTGAGAGTCCGCCTGCCGATGCAGGGGACACGGGTTCGAGCCCTGGTCTGGGAAGATCCCACATGCCGCGGAGCAACTAAGCCCGTGTGCCACAACTACTGAGCCTGCGCGTCTGGAGTTTGTGCTCCGCAACAAGAAGAGGCCGCAATAGTGAGAGGCCCGCGCACCGCGGTGAAGAGTGGCCCCCGCTTGCCACAACTAGAGAAAGCCCTCGCACAGAAACGAAGACCCAACGCAGCAAAAATAAATAAATAAATTATTATTATTATTTTTTAAATGTAAAATGCCGATGTTATTGTATAGTTGTTTGTCTTTCCAGAATCCATTCGCTCTGATTTTCCTTTGGGGACGTGCTTATCCTCAGTTCTCTGACCATGTGCTTCAGGCAAACCAGCCAGCTCCATAACATCGCCGGCTCTAGGGAGGGACACTCAACCACACAGCCCAAGCCAGGCCAGTCGGCATATTCCAACCTCTTGACCACAGTGATGTGTTCAGGGGTGAACACATGATCCAAGTCAGTTCAGTGAGACCCAATCCTAGGGAAAAGAACAGGTCTTTTTCCTCTGGGAGTGCTAAGCTGGTAGGATGTATGCCTGCAGCTGTAGGTGCCCATCTTACCACCACTGAGGGAGTCTGAGCATGAAGTCAACACAGTGGAGAGAAGAGAGGAGAGATGATGCAAGACTAGTTCTGATGATATCACTTGAGCATCTGGAATCGTGCCTGAAGCCCTAGACTCTGCAGCTACATGACTCAATACATTTCTTTTTATAAGAAGGAAGCATCAGATTACATAGATATGTATATATTATACATCTATATATTATCCATAGTATATATATTAGGATTATTTCATATTAAAATTATACGTATGTATTTAACTATTTATATAGAAATACGCAACATAATTATAAAATTAACTATGAAGTTCAAAAGAAAATAGAAAATGAACATGTAACATTTTAGAGAT